CAGTGCCTTCCCCCCATTTTCCTTCTGTCAAACTCCTTCTGATCCGTTAAAGTTAGGTATAAGTATTTGCACTAGGTAACAATCACTGTAATCCCAGCATGGACCTTTCAGCTTAAACATTACCACTTTCTCCCTTATTAGTTTTGGATGTAACTTTTATCTTCTCTCCCTCTTTGCTCTCTTGTTTTTCCTCAGAACTATTGGAAAGAGGGAGAACAGATAACTTAGACAGCCTCAAATCTCTTTCATGCTCAGAAGTCAACCAGTGTACTCATTTTTTTTTCTTACTGATTTGTTTGATTTCTTTGTAGGTTCTGGATATTAGCCTTTTGTCAGATGTATAGTTGATGAATATTTTCTCCTATTCTGTAGGTCGTCTATTCACTCTTGGTTATTTCCTTCACTGTGTGGAATCTTTTTAATTAAATCAAATCTCATTTCTTTTTTGTTGTTATATTTGCCTTTGGTGTCTTAGTCATAAATTCTTTGCCTAGGTCAATGTCTAGAAGAGTTTTTCCTGCATTTTACCCCAGAATTTTTGTGGTTTTATGCCTTACAATTAAGTCTTTTATCCATCTAGAATTAATTTTTGTATATGGTGAGAGATAGGGGTCCTGTTTCATTCTTCTGAATGTGGTTATTCAGTTTTCCCAGCACCATATTTTGAATAGGGCTTCCTTTCCCCAGCATATAATGTTTGCTTTGTCAAAGATCAGTTGGTTGTATACAGTTAGATGGTTTTATATTGGTTCCATCTTCTGTTCCATTGGTCTTTGTCTCTGCTCTTATACTAGTAACATGCTGTTTTGGTTACTATAGCCTTGCAGTACAATTTGAAGTCTGATAATGTGATGCCTCCAAATTTGTTCTTTTTGCTTAGGATTGCTTTGGCTGTTTTTGCTGTTTTTGGTTCCAAATAAAGTGTCGAATTATTTTTTCTAGATCTGTGAAATATGATATTGGTATTTTGATGAGTATTACATTGAATCTATAAATCACTTTAAACAGTACAGACATTTTGACAATGTTGATCCCACTGATCCATGAGCATGAGATGCATTTCAATTTGTTTGTGTCATCTGCAATTTTTTTTCTCAGTGTTCCTTACTTGTTCTTGTAGAGATCTTTTATCTCCTTGGTTAAGTATATTCCCAAATATTTTATTTTCTTTGTAGCTGTTGTGAATGGTATCGAGTCTTTGATTTGACTCTCAGCTTGACTCTTACTGGTATATAGAAATGCTACTGATTTGTGTACATCAATTTGGCAACCTAAGACTTTGCCAGATTTATTTATCAATTCCAGGAGTCTTATGGTGGACTCTTTGGGATTTTCTAGATATAAGGTCATATCATCAGCAAAAAGTGATAGTTTCACCTCCTGTTTCCCAATTTGGATACACTTTATTTCTTTTTCTTGTCTACTATCTCTGGGTGGGACTTCTACCACTATGTTGAATAGAAGTGGTGACAGTGGGCAACCTTGTGTTGTTCCAGTTCTAAGGGAGAATGATTTCAACTATTCTGCTTTCAGTATAATGTTGGCTTTGGGTTTGTTATATGTGGCTTTTATAATTTTCAGACATGTTTCTTCCATGCTTAGTTGGTTGAGGATTTTTATCACAAAAGGGTGCTCAATTTTGTCAAATGCTTCTTCTGCATCTATTGAGATGATCATATCATCTTTGTTTTTGCTTCTGTTTATGTGGTGAATCACCTTTTTTGATTTGTACATGTTGAACCACCCTTGCATTCCTGAGATGAAGCCCACTTGCTCATGGTGGATTATCTTTATGATGTGCTATTGAATTTGGTTTGGCAGTATTTTATTCAGGATATTTGCATCTATATTCATAAGGAATATTTATCTATGGTCTTCTTTTCTTATTGTGTCTTTTCCTGGATTTGGTATCAAGGTAATATTGGCTTTGTAGAATGAGTTAGGGAGGATTCATACCTTCTTGATGTTATAAAATCATTTCTGTAAGATGGGTATCAGCTCTCCTCAGTAGGCCTTGAATGTCCTCTGTCTTTAAATGTCCCAGAAGGAGAGGAAGTAATTGAATGTAAAATAAATGATCAGTGAGTGCTCCAAATGATCTCTGCTATTATTATAGTTTGAAGATTTAGGAAAGATAAAACCTAAAGCCTTAGAGTTTCCTTCCATCCGTGAAGGAATTTACTTCAGTTCAGCTTTTGTTTTCCTTCCAAATTTCTGAGGCTTGAATTCAGGTTCAAAAGAAATAGTCTTTTGACTATTTTCTCTACTAGAATAGAGAAGTTATTTCTCCACTTATTCCTCCCACCCATCCTGCAACATGCTATCACCAAAGGGATATTTATTATTTAAATTTGTAGTGAACTAAAAATGTTTTTTGTTTCAAAACTGTAGTTATATCTGTTGAAGGCAATCAGATATCTTCCCAAACACTGGAAATTATTGGTTTCTGGATGAGTAGTTGTTCTTAAATATGTTTAGATAAGAATGATCTGTTGATTTCTCTCACCTGCTTTCATTGATAATAGAGCTACTGAGTTATTTATTGACATGTCAGATCTCTCAAAGGGTAAGAATGGACATGGAAAGCAGATCTTTCCTTCTATTTCTAGTTATCTTTCTCTGTTAGTTTTGTCTGTGAGAAATTAATCAAGCTCTGGATTCTCTTGGTGAGTGTGATAGTGCTCTGCAGATGGTCTTTTTGGATCCTGAGACCCAAGTGAATGGAATGAGCAAGCCAAGTTCACATATCCAAGCATTCATCTCATGAAAATAGTGGTAGGTACCTACTCTACTTTTATTAATATTCTTGCCTCACCAATTTTTCTTTCTCTTCTTATGCCATGTCATGATCAGATACATTCATAATTATCCAATACATACTTGTGCTCACTCTACTTTAACTTCTGAGTAACTATCTAATAATTCTGTCAAAATGACTTTCTTTCTAATCCTAGAGCTGCTTGTGTGCATTGCAAAGTGGTGAAGAGCCAATTCAGAGTTCATCTTTATTACTTCTTTTTATTATGTACTATTTCCGGAGGTGCTAAGTCAGTGGATCAGTTATTAATTAAACCATCAACATGAAATTTTCTCTCTTAGAACTTTGAAAATATTTTTATTTTGACTAACCATTTTGCTATTGACTAAAAGTGTGTGCAAGCTATGTACATTCACAGTTACATTTTTGGGGGAGAGTAGCAAACATAGAAGTTCTTGATTCTAGAGTCAAGAGTTACTGGAGAACACACTGACCATGTGCACCACTACAGGCCTGTCGGGATACAACCACTCTGTGGTTCCACTTTTCTACTTTGGTTCTGCCTCCTTCCCTGCTAAGGTCAATATAACTAAGAACCAGTGAAGGGTGCAGAAGGTCCCCCCCCACACCCACCCACTCTGTGAGAACAGTGACAGTGTCTACCTGACACCCCTCTCCACCTGCTCCCCTAACCTGGGAGGAAGGACGGTAGAAGCCGGATCCAGGCCTCTCGGCCCCTGGCAGGATTTTATGACCTCTGTGGTAAGATGGGCATTTGGAACTACTTGTTCCTTGTGGGTCTCACATTTTCAGCACCAAAGTAAAAATCACAGTGCACACCTCAACAGGGAGTGTCTCCCAATGTTATGTTAGGGACATTCTGAAAGGTGCCTTGACACTGAGTGTCTCCTTCAGCATTTTTGACAAAACAATTAAATGTTCCCACATTCATGTGGCACTTTGCAGTTGGCATAGCCCTTTCACTGGCATCATCCCCTTCAACTTGATAAGGCTATACTGGGTGGGGGTAGCTTAATGTTTTTCAGAACACAGGATGAACAAGCTCAGAGAGTTTCAGGGACTTATTGAGGGTCACATAGTAAATGGTACATTATTTTATTCTATGTCTAGAGTCCTTTCGGTGATATGAAAGAGACCGTAGACATAGCAACATTTGTAGACACTTTTGGAGAAAGCTATAATTCCTTGAAAAGGAATAAACTTTTCATTACACATTGGAGATAAAGCTCAAAATGCAAATCTTCCTCTGAGAGTGGGAAAGCATTAGCAAATGGGTACTATAGGCCTTTGCATATTCAAAATATTAAACTTACTTGAGAATCATAGATTTAAGACATAGTGCTTAAGAGAAAACTTCTAGATTGAAGTTAGTTTTTGTAAAAATGCACATCTATATATGGGCATATATCTACTTAGAAAATATCCTGCTTTAGGTGTTGGTGCCATTTCTTGGTTACCATTTTATATGCTGTGCTCATAGCTGCTGCTGTCCTATCCCTATACTTCAAGCCACCATATGATTTTTAATTACTTTATGACTCATTTTCAGTCAATTGTAATCATTAACTAAGACCGTTTAGCCAATGAAGCACTTCCATAAATAAAAACTATAGATTTTTGAACATGGTTAAAGGAATAGTTCAATTTTCCCAACTAGTATCTGAACCTCACATTAATCACATGAAGCATGAAACCTGTTATTATTTAAAAGAATAATTATATATTCACTCTAAATGAATACTGTGAAAGGAATAGAGATGCTCTCCTTCACTCTATGAAAATGTGTGACATTTTGTTTGAATTAGTAAGCAATTCCCTGGACTTAGAAGTTCTGGATCTTCTCTATTTATAAATCTGAGTGTATCCTTGGCCATACTGTAGTTTTTGCCCTGGAGTCTTGACACATTTTATAAAAAAAGAAAATACAGGCAGTGGAAATAGAGGTGGAGGTAGAAGACCTCAAGCACGGTAGCCTGCTGTGTGTGTTCGGGGCGAGTGGAGGGTCTCCTCCACCAGGCTTCAAAGACTGTGGGTTAAAAAGACACAAAAAATGCAAGAAGGCAGAAGACATTTATTTCCTCAATGGGAAAGGCGACATAAGTAGAGTGCTTAAGAAGGAAAGTTTACTGGCCCCAAATCCTCAGCTGATATTCAACATCTTATCTAGCTCTCACTTGGATTTTAAACATTTGCTTGAAAAATAATTTCCTATCAATTTCTGTTTCCTTCGGGAAGCTCTCGTGTGAGGTTTATTGCTAACATCTCTGACGACAGAATCAATGACATTGCCCCGTTGGTGCTGCAGAGGGTGCGGGTGGAGGAGGCTGAAGGCTGCTTCCGGAAGGCGTCTGTGTGCTCTCAGAATGTCAGGACGGTCCGGATGCTGCAATGGGACAGAAAAGACAGTGTGTCAACACGGAGACATTCACACTCTTCCTGGAGAGGGTCCAGGGAGCATCTGGGGTGTCTTAGTGAAAACCTGTCTGGGCTCCCAGTCATGGCATCACCATTCCTACGTATGAGATTTAAATCAAATAAAAACGCAGCTCATCTTGCTTTCTTGTTGTTCTCTCTTATGTTTTCTCCAGTCTTAAGCTTGCTCATTACATCCTGAATATAACTGTCATTTGGACTTCAATTCTATATTAGCATCCTCAAAAAATCATTTTTGAGTGCCCATGTTCCTGGCAATTGAGGGAATATAAAACAACAAAGGGCAATAATATGTAAAAAGTTCTTCTGATTTGTCACAAACTTTGAGGATACTTTTCATGCATTATCTCATTTAAACCTCAGCCTCAACCTAAACCATGGGGTGGGCAGGGTTTCCTTTTACTTCCATTTGAGAGATTATAAAAACTGAGAGATTTAGACAGCTTTATAGCTTGGTTCAGGTCATGCCTCTAGTGTGGCGTGTTGGCATTCCAAATTGCATAAATACAATATTGTATAAATTACAAGATACAAGCCTGGAGGAACTGTTAATTTAATGATGCTAGGGCTATGCTGAAAATTTAATAGAGCTTTAATGTAGAGATGTTTAAAGATTCTTAAAATTAGATAATAAAGCTATTTGTATTAACTGTAAGAGACTTCATTCTTGTAAAAGTTGGAAATGTAACATTTATACTTGGCTTTACACATCATACCCTTTCTAAAAACCATCTTCTGATGGTTAAATGCTTTTAGAAGAAGATGGTGGTATTCATGCCTCTTTAATTTTTTTTACCTATACATGTATATACAAATATAACAATATCTGTAGATAATTTAGAAAGTACAAGACAGTATAAAAAAGAAAGTAAAAATACTCTGTAATCCCACAACCTCAAAATAATCATTGTTAGTATTGTCTTGTATTTGAATAAACTTTTTTCTAGATGTAGGTACATTTTTACTGTGCTTGTTGAAAATTTGGGATCATATTTTATATATAATTTATATTCTCTATTTTATGAACTAAGATTACATCAGGAAAATCTCCCAATGTAATCCAATAATTTCTTTTTAATGGCTTCATGGAATTCTAATACATGATTGGAATTTATTTAATCATTCACTTAATGTTGGACTTTCAGGATGTTTCTAGTCTTTTATATTATAGGTAACAGGTAAACATGCTTAAACACATATGTGTGTTTGAATATTTGATTATTTCTGTAGAATAGTTTTCTAGAAATGAAATTGCTGGCACAAAGGATCTAAGGTTTCTCAATGTTTCTGATACAAATTACCAAATTCCTTTTCCAAGGGATAGAACAATTAATATTCCTACAAGCAGCACACGTAGGTGCCCATGTCACCTTACCCTTACCAATATCAGGCATTGCAATTTTTGATGTTTGCTTATTGGTAGGATTCATTATATGTAAATACACATACTGAATTGTATGACACTCTCATAAAGTGAATATAGATGCACCTAGTGAATTCCTTTGTTGTTTAAAACTGCTCTCTGGGTTTGGTCATCTCTTTATAAGCCATCATCTTTCCAACTTGATGATGATGATGAGGATAATAAATAACGTTTTATGACTACTGTATTCTCTATATATGTATGTGTACACACACACACACACACACATACTCTTGCAGTGTGTTTTAATAGAAAGTGAATTGATTTGCTAACAACCAGATCTTTGAATTCCGCTCCCCTCTCAACTACCTGCATGGTTTTGGCCTGGATGTGTCCTCTCTGAGTCTCAGGTTTCTCCTAAGATGGTGAAATTGAACTGGAAATCCGTATTGTTTGGGAATCACAAAGATAATACAGATAAGACAATTAGTAGAACAGCTGGTGCTCTGTAGTCTGCTTGTTCTTTCCTTTCCTCAAGAATATTAGTCAAAGATGAAGTGTCTATATAACATTTGATGTGAGTGCCGCAGGAAATACTACTTAAAGTTAAAAACCCACTGAGAAGAAGTGTGGGTAGCATAAAAACATGGACTATCGGGGCTAGAAGGCAGGGGTTGGATAAAGCTGCCTTTACTAGTGTGTGTTGTTTAAATGCAGGTGACGAAATTCATCTGACTAGGTGGCTGTAAATGGTAAATGTTAGAAGTAGTAAATATTTAATAGAATTGGCTTATTTTCTAAGCTTTAGAGAAAAGTTAAGACAAACATTTAAAAGTATTTGTACCCTTCCCCTTTAACTTTATTTGTAAAAATTTCTTTGTAAGTTGCAAAAACAAGAACAAAAACAAAACTAGTAGTGTCTGAATAGAAAAAAACAGGTGTAGTTCTATCTCCTCCCAACAATGAAGTATTGGGCCATGTCCTGAATATATTTAAATTTACAGTCCTAAATGTCAGCCTTATTCAGGGGTCCAGCAGAGGCTTCAGTGACTCCCATAGTGTAATTAGGATTGTGTGACCCAAGTATTTTTTGGCAAAGGTGAGTGCTCTTGCAAAGAAGGCTGAGTGCGCTCTGGATCCTCCTTTTGCTGTAACCAACATCAAATTTGGCTCCGACAGAGCAGAAGGCAACACGACTGTTCCCAGCGCCCACGGTGGGCGTCTCGGTGCTCTACATGGGAGCCTGAGGTGGTAACGAAAACCCGAGGCACTCCATTTTCTCCTCTCATCGTTCTACCCTTTTTCATTCTCTGCTAGCCAACCCCTACCACAAAAAGCAAAGCAAAACGAACAACTTACAACCTACCCTCTTTTTCCAGAGCGAAGCAGGTCAAATCTTCCCATTTATTTTTCAAAAGGCATAACATTGGTTATTAATGGATCCAATGGAAACTTCTTAGCCATAAAATCAGCCACAAGTTTGGGGACAGATTCTTTACTCTTATAGCCTGAAAAGAAACAATATCATTCTTAGATTCAGCCAGGGGTGAGGGAGGAGAATTGGAGAGAAGACTTTCCAAATAAGCTTGAGATGAAAGTTTATAAAATGTGCCACATTCCTCAGACTGCTATTACTGAGGTTACAGAGATACAGAGTGCTTTGATAGGTGTCCTTTTGCAGTGGTTTGACTTTTTAAAAAAATCTTGCCAGATAAAGAAGGGTCCTTAGTCATTAGCTGTCTCATGGAGAAATTCTAGTGAAGACGATTATGCCCAAAGTCAAGGAGAAAATTTAACAGTTGTCTCAATTTGGGTGATAAGTGTAGAATGAATTATAGATTCACGTGTGCTATAGACTTTCTCTGTCCCATTAGAAATTTTGGTGTCTTATGGGGTCACGAGTGTAAAAAGGGATCTTAGTTTAAGGGAACAGGAGGATATTCAGTCTTGGGACCATCTGTCTTCCTTAGTTCCACATCTAGTTGATTTGGAGCCTACAGATGCACAGGAGTTTTGATTAATTTTTGACCATGTGGCTTTCCAAAATCTGGCCTTGTCACTTGTAAAAGGGGAGAGATTCTGAGGTTAACGACAATTTGGCCTTTAAGTGTAAGTACATACCTCCAAAAATACCTCCTTTCCAGGTGCGGCCAGTCAGTAGCACTAGAGGGTTGACAGAGAGGGTATTAGAACCAGGAGGAACCCCAACAATGACGCTTGTGCCACACGCCTCGTGACAACATAACAGGGCAGACATCTGGAATAAAATCAATACTGAGTGTCCTTACAACAGACTCTCTGATAGTCTCTACTGATAATGCCCAGTGGGATGTCATATGGATTTAGCTAGATTGTGAGTGTGCGGAAGGAAGAAATTACATCTTTTTGTTTTTCATTCCTTTTTCTGCCTAGTGCTGTGGATTTAGGAAATGCCCAGAAAATGTTTTTTGAATGAAAGAATAGATGAATGCATTTGTGTATATTTAACACTTTCTTCTAAAGTAATAAGGAGGCAAACATCATTACAAACGTGTAAATTATGGTTCGTTAAGGAAGGATACTGTTTCATCATCACATGATTCTCAGGCAATCTTTGAGCTGGTTAATTCATTTTTCATTGATTTATTAAGTAGATGATTTGAACCTGGCACATTGAACCAAATGGTTTGGTGGTGAAGATGCAATGACTACATCCTCAAAATTTGTCTCTTCTCCACTTGATAGTTTCCCTTTTTAATCAATTACTATTCTTTTGTCCATTTCTAAAAGGGACATGTTTCAAACGTTGTTTTTACCTCCCGCCAAATTTATATTGGTTTATCTTTACACTACGCCTATTATTCTGTAACCTCAAAAGTCGGTCCAGAAAGTCTTCCCCCTCTAGTCATCCTTTTGTACATGTTCCGTAGTAAGATAAGGGTACAGGATCCCCCCAGACAAATAACCATTAGTCCTTTGATTTTGAATTATAATGCTTAGAAGAACGGATATCCTCAGAACATGTGACTATCTGGCATTTAGTATCTTCGAATAAGGCAGCAATTCAGTTCCATATGAGAAAATGCAGGAAAACAATAGAAAAAGAGCATAAGAACAAAAACTACAGCTTTGGAGAAAGTTGGATTCTTGTGAATCTCCATGCTTGTACAGCATGTTGTCCCAGGTCAAGGCTGCAAAGGGTTTACTGTCAAGGTGCTGCTCCCCTTCACCACACTGCTGGGGCTTCCTGGAGAACCTCAGCAATGGGGAGTTGTTGGTCTCTGTGGACTTTTTCAGCAGGATTCTAGAGGATTCAGTGTGGGTAAAATATAGCTGGAGATGTGTTTTCCATTGCAGCTGATGTTTGTAATTATTTGAAAGTAACAGGATGTATATTTCAAAGATTACATAAGCACTGCAAGATGGGAAATAGTATTTCATATCAATAATAGTAACGCTGGCTGACATTTCCTGAGAGCTTGCTGTAGGACAGGTGGCACTGTGCTAAGTCTGTTACATGCGTTATCTCATGCAATCATAAACAATGCAATGAGTAGGTATATATTGGTCAAATTTGGGGGCTGGTAAATAATTCTTGACCTAAAATTGCTCATTCCTTTTAGGGAAAGTATACTATATAAAAAATTGGAATACATTAAAACATGTAAAGAATTGTTAAGTCATTTTTATTAAGAATGTGGAGGAAAAACAATACCAATTTGAGAAAAGAATTTATATTAGTTATAGTTACTTGAGTTTAAATTTTTTTACTAAACATTAACCAAATAAATCTGTAATGGTTTTTCAATTAAAAAACAAACCCTCCATAATATGCCGAAATAAAAAAACAAACCCTTTTCTTTTCTAAAAAAGAAATATTACTTGAGGCGGGCCTGCTTAGCTGACGGAAAGAAAGATTTCTCAACAATAAATCAAACTAACCAGGTAACAAACAGGAGATGGAAAATTGCCATTCATTATTTAAAATATTATTTATACACAATATTTATACTCTGCTGCCTTACAGCATACTCCAGATTGCAGAAGCAGAAATTTCCACATATCATTGTACGTACCAGCGTGTCAAGCCGACCAATGACCTCAAACGAAAAATCCACACCTCCATCGGTCATTTCTGTGATCACCTCGTGGATGGGTTTCTTGTGGTCTTGAGGGTTGATGCATTCAGTGGCACCCAACTCTTTGGCCTTTGCAAATTTACTCTTGTTGATGTCCACGGCAATGATCCTGGCTGCTCCGGCTGCTTTACAGCCCATGATGACAGACAGGCCAACACCTCCCAGGCCAAACACAGCACAGCTAGAGCCCGGGGTGACCTGTGTATTCAGAAAGTGAAAAAATGGATTAAGTAATGATTGCTGGAATGTGCCTAGGCTTCACAAAGTGCCAAGCTTTGCCTGTTATTAGGAGCCCATCAGATTCTCATATCTGTTGTCAAAAGCTCTTTTGGCTTTAGTTGTTTCATGTTTAAATTGAGGGGGTCAAAGTAGGTCAGTGGTTCTCAAGCTTTCCTGCATATTACACTCATCTGGTGAGCTTTAAAACATCCCAATGCCCAAGTCACAGCCTGTACCAATTAAATCAGTACCTCTGCAGGTGCAACCCAGTCCCCAGGTGAGCCCAACGGGACTGGATGATCTTTGAGTTCTAAATGTCCGTGACTGCAATCTTGAAGAGAATCTAAATGGCGGAGAGCCACTGATAGCAGCTTTTGTATCTCAGACATGCACAAAGGCAGCTTGTGGAAAGTGGCATAAGTGGAAAGGGCTACTTATGGAGACTGAAAAATTATTCAGTCAAACTCTCAATGATTCACTGCTTGGTTCATTAACTTTCAGTAGTCATGACCAGTAAACCCTGCTTTAAAAAATACACTAGTGAACAATAATGCAACAAAAAGTTGGTCTATATGTCAATAGTGAATAAAATCCTATGAGTATTCTTAGCTTCTCCTCTATGGGGAGGCCCACTTAGATCACCTGCAAAACAGATGAGACAATTGCTCAAGGGAGTAAGTGCCAAAGTCACAGACATTTGGAAAGATGTACTCTAAATTGTTTAAATTGTCCAGGGGCTGTTTAATAAGCCTAGACTTCTACAGTCAGCCTTCAGTGTGGGTAAAATGCTCTTCCTGTCCCCAGTAATCTCATTGGTACATTCCCTTAAGTGTGTCTATTCACTCATTCATCCACCAAATGTTGTCCAGTACGACATGGTACAATAATACTTTCTACCTTACTAAGAAAAACACAAGGCTTGTGATTGTGATTTAAAAGTGCTAGCAATTATGTATTGTGATTTAAGATACAGCAAGAGATTTTAGAAAGATATTTCAATGTCAGCTCTCATACTAACCAGCAGGGAGCTTTATGTCTTGGGACCTCCGTTTCACAAAATGAAGAGTACTGCTAGATACACTGCTAGATTTTCAGCCTTTTGTGAGGAAGTGAAGCCTTTAAAGCATTTCTCCTTGAAACTGAGCACTTGTGGGGAGTGTGTGTGTGTTCATGGCGGGGAAGGAGACGCAGATGACTCCAACAGTGGGTGAAATAAGCCTGTCACCGAAGCCTTATTACTTCCCTGTGAAGAATCCGCAGAGTGGGTGACTTTGGTTTGCAAATGTATCAGGTGAAGCTTTGGAATCTACTGTTGATCCTAAACGTGGGAGTGGGGGATCCATGGACTGGATGCTCTTGCAAGGCAAACCCTTCCTTTCCTTTATCTTTGCTGCCTCAGAACCTCCCGTGCCTAATGCAGGTACAGGTGCTCTCTAATTGTAGAATATATGACTAAATGAACTCTGAACCCTAAAATTTAGTAATCCCCAAAGGGAAAAATATAGAAGAATAATGATTGCAAATGAAATCTTTAGTTTGTCCTAACCAAGTGATTTTTATCTACGATTAACAGTTGAGGTTTCAAGACATGCTCTCAATTCCTTCTGGGGCCATTTTTCTGCTCGTAATCAACACTGCACAGCTATGAAAATAATCTCTGACTCTTGTGAGAAATTGCTTCTTTTGTGCTGCCAATCTGAGTGTAAGTGGTCTTACTGCCCACTGGCGCGCCTACCTTGGCGATTTTGACTGCAGACCCATAGCCAGTGGAGAATCCACAGCCAATCAGGCAAACTTTCTCCAGCGGTGCAGCTGCATCGATCTTGGCCACGGCGATCTCATTCATCACGGTGTACTCGGAGAAGGTGCTGATGCCCACGAAGTGGTGGACCGGCTTCCCCCTGCAGGTGAACCTGGTGGTGCCGTCCTGCATGGTCCCCCGAAAGAGGCTTGCCAGGCTGCTCAGTGCGCACCCAGACACACCAGGGTGTGAGAGAGGACATGACTCTGTGCCAAACTCAAGGCTGGCAGAGAGGATGAAAACCTACTCGCTTTCACAGAGAAGTTTTTCAGGGTGTTTACAGATTCATGCTTTTCCACCACTGAGGAGTAACAGATGTGGGAATGACTTTTGTCACTGGAAGGGGATACAAACAGATTCTTGTGAAATTCAGAAATTTACAAGAGGAAAACTTAGAGCTTGGTGAAGAGTGTCCGCATGAACTAGGGTCAGTCACTATATGTCACTCGGTCATTGGCTGCCCAGCATTGGTGTTGGTTTTGGGTTCATGTGCCTGAGATCTGAAGGAGAAGTAAATGTGGAAAACAACATGATTTTAAAAAATATTTCTGTGTATTGGTTAACTTTTTTTTCCAAGAATGTACTTTTTATTGCACGATGTCAAGCACCTGCCAAGCAACATGTATGTATGTGATAGATGAATGACAAGTTGGGAAAATGTCATTTACGTTGAAATACTTCATTACAGTTTCAACATTTTTTTTTTATTTCGGCATATTATGGGGTCAAATTTTAAGGTTTCAAATAAATGCCTTACTCTCTCCTCCCCTACAAGTCGGAGTTTCCAGCGTGGACCATCCCCCCAGATGGTGACATCTCACTGATGTTATTGATGTATATCCGCCAACTCTCCCACCTCCACCTGCCCATACCCAATTAACTGTAGTAAACCTATGTGTCCATTAGTGTTGCTTGTGCTAATACCAGTTGCTGGTGAACTATATGTGGTTTGTTTTCCATTCTGGGATACTTCACTTGTAGTATGGGGTTCCAGCTCTAACCAGGAAATATAAAATGTCGTATTCACCGTTGTTTCTAAGCATGAATTTAGTTTTAACCCCTCCCCATGTATACAGTATACCACATTTTTATTAATCCATCTTGCATTGATGGGCACTTGGGCTGTTCAACGCCTTGCAATTATGAATTGTGCTGGTATAACATTCGGAGTGGCCACGTATCTTTTTGAAGAGTTCATTGGATTTTTGGTAGAATGCCCAGTAATGGATTGCTGGATAAGATGGTAGATCACTTTCTCGCTTTAAGGTATCTCCATATTGCTTTCCACAAAGGTTGAATTAGTTTGCAGTCCCACCAGCAGTGTAGGAGTGTTCCTCTCTCTCCGCATCCATGCCAGCATTTATTGTTTGGAGACTTTTTGATAAAGGCCATTCTCACTGGGGTTAAGTGATATCTCGTTGTGGTTTTGATTTGCATTTCTATAGTTAACTTTTATTGAGTGTCCTGATTAAATCTGCAAAATTCTCACTGTAAGGATTGGTAACATTTATAGTTGAAAGTGGGCTGCTTTAGTTCTATGGGAAGTTGGGGAGAGGTGATATTTTGTAATAATTTGAGCTAACATAAAAATGAGAATTTGGATAACCAATTCTTGGGTTTTCAAAGTGACTATGCTTATCTTTAATATGTAGTGAATGCTTTTTAAAAATATTAATTTTTTTGAGGAAAACTAATAAAAATAGAACAAAGAAGAATGGAAGAAATGACTCTGAAAACCTCAACCCTTAACAATGAGTTAGGCACGTTCTTTTAGAAGAAGAGCTGACTTTCAAGTGATTTTAGTTGATAATTTATGAATTATCTCTTTTTCATGCTATGGTGAAAGGAGAAGGGGTGAAAAGAAAGGGTGTCATTTTATTATTAGTTTAATTCTAGCTATAGGAAGTACGAAGAGCAGAAGCTTAAACTAGACTGTTGGTTTTATTATTTGCTGTTTGTAGTTTATTTAAGTATTTGGGCAGGGCACTGTGGCTCACAGCTGTAATCCTAACACTCTGTGAGGCGGAGGCAGGAGGATCGATCAAGGTCAGGAGTTTGAAACCGGCCTGAGCAAGAGAGAGACTCCGTCTCTACTAAAAATAGAAAGAAATTAATCGATCAAGTAAAAATATACAGAAAAAATGAGCCAGGCATGATGGCGCATGCCTGTAGTCCCAGCTACTTGGGAGATTGAGGTGGGAGGATTGCTTGAGCCCAGGAGTTTGAGGTTGCTTTGAGCCAGGCCGACGCCACAGACTCTAGCCTGGGCAACACAGTGAGACTCTGTCTCAAAAATAAATAAATAAATAAATAAAATAAATAAGCATTTGGTAAGGCAGAAGGTCAAATCTACTGACTAATGGGATTTTTTAGAATAAAACAATTTTTATGTATAATCACATATACTACCTATCCTAGAAGACCAAGAAAAATGGCTGGCCCACCACATTTTATAGATAAAGGTCATGTGAAAATGGTGATACGAAAATTTGATATTTAGTCACACTTTCTCTATGAAAACATTTGTATCACTACAAATAAAATTAGGGTAAATAAGTGTTAAATATAAATTAATTTATAATTTGTAAGTAGTCACATTTAGTCATGGCTAAAGGTAATACAACAGACTGTTGGTGGCGAGGTGCCTTCTGCTGTGTTTCTTCATTTCGTCTGTGTCATTCATTCCCTGGGGAAGAAGAGAGGCTCGGTGGGAAGAGGAAACTGGTGACGGTTGTCATGTGTCACCTAAGCCAAGACCGTGCTGATTCTGCTGTGGCCACCCAGCCCCGTGTGCACTCCGCACAGAGCAGATTCCACACGCTGCCCTAGAGACTCGGGCCGAGCTGGCGTGATTCCCTCGTCCCCCTGCTCGTTCTGTTTGGGCCCTGGCAGAAGACAGTGCCCCGCAGCACTGGACTGGGGTTACTGGTGATGGACTCGACAGTGGCAGGCGCTGTGTCTCCTGTGATCTCTCTTGTCCCTGTGCTCTAACCTGTGTCTGGCACCTTGTATCAATAGGTGCTCAATGAATGCGCTGAAGGGGAGGATACATGAGCGCCCGGATGCCCACGAGCCTGCGTCAGGCAGGGAGGGAGGGAGCAGGGAACACTTCAGGGCCCAGCTGGGCTGTGACCTTGTGCAAGATCCTCCATCTCCCTTTGCCTCAGTTTCCTCCAGGCTGGATGGTCTTGGGGTCATGAACCAAGGGACATCCCCTGAGTGTGACTTCTGTACCTGGTTTGACTGTGGTCACCCCTTCTCCAATGCTCTCCACGATGCCAGCGGACTCATGGCCGACTATTACAGGAAGCGGGCTCTCAATATGGCCACTAATCACATGGTCATCTGATCGACATATTCCTGCGGCCACTATCTGCAGAGTAAAGAGAACATGATCAGATTCAGAAAAGATTATGATTCTCTGATGGAGTTAACATACTGAATTTTCTGAAATTGTGCTTCTAAAACATTTTTAATGATTTTGCTAATAATCCCTACTCTTTCCAAATACAAAAGATGCAGTTTATCCCCAAGCAAGACTATGCAGTCTGAAACCCTTCTTTACCTTCCTTCTCTGAATCAAAGAATTTAGAATAATCTGGGAAATAATGTATCTTGAAATATTTATCTAACACAAGAATGCATTTTGATAGAATTAGAAATTGCAGATTAACTCCAAGAAAGTATCTAATGCTAATTGATTTTTGAAATCTTGATATATCCCTTTGCACTTTTTAAATATACAGGCACATAAATTGCTTTTCATTTTACCAGGATTATATTTTTTACACTCTTTGGTCACTTTTAAACAATTTAACAATTCATATTCACATGTCTACTTGATAACAAATGTATTTCCATTGTCTGAATTACCATATACAATGTTCCTCTTAATGGATTTTTGGTTATTCCATTTGTAATATTTTCTGAAGTTTTTTAAAGCTAAAATTAAATAAAAGTGGAAAAAATGTTTCACCTTAACACGAACTTCATGGGCCTTGGGGGGTGCAACCTCCACTTCCTCAATGGAAAAAGGTTTGTTTAGCTCCCATAGCACAGCGGCTTTGCATTTTATCACCTGGAAAATGAAACAAAATGATGACACCAGTTTGTCCCCACTCTTGAAGTCAGGGATTGGGTTTTTTCCTCTTTGTACATGGAACATCTAGCCCATGTGTGGTAGCTAGCAAGTGCTTCATGGACATGAGCACTTCTGGTTTACAAAGAGAATTAAAGTGTCTTTTTAAAAAAGTATAAAAACAATACCATAGGAAAGAGAAACAGAATTAACTGTAATAAGACACTAAGATATAAGAGAATATATTATTCGAGGCCATCCCCATGTTGTTTTTTTCCCAAAGTTGCTTATTCTGCTATTTCCTAAAGCTGTCCTAAAATCCGTTGTTTACAAACAACTGTTGGCTTTTACATGAAGTTCCAAATCACTATTATTTTCCCGACAGAGCCAGTGTCTGTTCACATCAATCCATTACTTCCTTGCTCAGTTTTCTGCTTAGGACAAAGGATCTGTCTTTATAATGACAGTTACATACTTCCTTGCCCCCTGCCCTGGGATGACAACTCTTCTCTACTTGCCTTTTCTCCTCCGATTTCTCTTCACACACCAGTGTATTACTTGTTTGCGTCATTTATTGGAAACTTAGTTTGGCAGCCTGTTTGGTTACATAATTTACGTGTAGAGGCTCCTTCCAGATTAGATTGGGGCCAAAAATTACAGAGGTTAGAGCTAGTGGGGTGTGTGTGTGTGTGTGTGTGTGTGTGTGTGTGTGTGTATACACTCACACACATATATTTTAAAACTGGAGAGCTATATGTTTGAATTTCTAGCTGGCACAGCTTATGCACAGATGCTCTTAAAAATGAAAGTTGAACACATATTTTCAGTGCGTGGGAATGTGTCATAAAACCTATCTTCATTGGTGTAAAATGTGTGCAGTTACCAGTGCTCTTTCTAGTGAGAATTGACATCATTGTAAATATGATCAATTCAATAGGAATTTATTGCTCTGAGAATTCATTTTCATTATTTGTCAAATCCTTCCACTTTGCAAGGTGATCAACATGGTCAATGCCAAAATAAATAAATGTGAGAATTCTTGGAAACAGCATCTTAGTAGCAGGAAGGTCCTGATTGTCAGGTGCCTGTGATGTGACAGGCACATGTGGCCCTGCTGGGGGGAGAGCCAGGCTTTGTCTTTAGACCTGACAAGGCGCTGCCAGGATAGTAGTATTGAACATTGGCTGTATTTTCTGGATGAAAAGATTGAGGATCCCTGTCTAGGGAATGAAGATCAATCCAGCCTTAACTTTCACTACCCCATGGCAGTTAAAAGTTAACAAAAAGTTAAATAGCAACAGAAATAATAGTGTTGACTAACATTTATTGACTTACTTCTATGTACCAGGTACTGTTCTAAGTGCTTACAGCACTAATTTTTAAAATTCTCATAACAATCATATGAAGTAGATGTTGGTGCTTTCACCATGTAGCATTCAGGAAAATAAAATGCAGGCAGGACAAACATAAATGAAACGCTATCAAAATGCTAAGTTTTTAACACTGCGCTTGAGAGGGGAGGAGAGATTGTTTATTTCATCATTTATTGTTTTCATTCATATGATTGGTTTATACTTCACTTTTGCTTAATGAACTCATTATGTATCTTAAGCTGAGTTTTGGTAAATTTAATTTTTCTTTTTCCTAATTATTTTTCCTTTAGAAGGCAAATACTAATCAGTAACCAGTGAAAATAAAGTAAGATGGAATAAGAACACTGACAATAGGCCACTCATAATTTCTAATTGATCTTTTGGCTTTGAGCCTGTTTTGTCAGACAGTGTGTGTGTATACTAACGTCAGAATCTTGAAATTGAGAGCCTAGCAGGACGTTTTACTGTGTGCTCCACTCCTAACACAACAAATGTGCTGCAAATGTTGCACAGCATCTTGTAAGTAAGCAGTTAAAAACAGGATTTGATTACATTGAATGGCCACATGCCATTCCCCTGTCAACACATGGAAGAAATAAGTATAAATTTCTGGCAGGCTTAGAACCTGTGTTCCTAGCTCTAATAAGTAATTCAAATTGAATTAGTATTAATTTTTCATAAAATCATGCTGATTTTTATATGGGGAAGATATTGTTCCGTAGGATTTCTGTGGAAATTGCCTAAATTGTGCCATAACAGAGCTTTTCAAATCAGAATTTGCATGGTGATGTTGTCTTGCTTGACCTTGATGATCATAACATTTAGAGATTAATGTGCCTTTTGTAAGTGATTTTACTTAAGGTTAAAAAGATATTTAGGTCTTCTCAATCAAATTCTTCTCACAAAATTTTTGTCACACTTAACTTTCTGGTGTTCATAAAAAGAATCTGATTACAAAGAATAACACATTTAAATTATGCTTTCTTAAAATAGATAACTGTTTTTTTTATAACTAATTTCTCTGAAAAAAGGTAACTTCATGATTAAAGACTTGTCTGACTTTAGAATTACAAATTAGTTATGATTAGCTTGGAATAAACTCACTTTACTGCAAATATTTAAAGTAGGAAACATAGACTTTAACACATAGAAATTTGATCCATTTTTGTTAAAGTAACTTAGGATAGCTTATTTCCATTGTAGTTTAATAGACATTATAAATTATACCGCATATTTCATATTGTTTTCAGTGTATCATTTCTACTTTAGATATGAATTTTAAATTAGTCACCAAATACTGTATCCCTTTGTTTATTGTACTAATGAGAAGATATTTCCAATAGTAATGATTTTTTGCTTACTTTTCCTGCTGTGCTCATGTTGTTTCTGTCTTCTTTGCAGACCAGGAGACTGATGAGTTCTTGTGGCTTTCTTCCTTGCTTGAGTGCATAAAGTAGATATTGCCCAGATATTTTGTTTGATTGAGTAACACCCTTTCCACATGTGATCTGCGTCTTTAAGCCACACCCATCAGATTATTCTGGGACTAAGTCAAATAGGAGAGAACAGGGCACTGAACCAGCATGCAAAACCTTAACGTTGTGATATGTTTATTTAAGATAACATCTGGTTTTCATTAGTTAAATATTTCCCTGCATGTAAATTTTAATGTCTCTCTTCCAGTCTCCCCTCCTCTCTCTCTGAAACTCTGTCTCTCTTCTGCAATCCCACACAGACCATTCAGAGTTCTGTTTTCCCTTTGCACTGAGCTCCAACCTTGAATCCTCATGGTGCGTCTAGGAGGGAGGAGGACTGAGGAAGCAGGACAAATGAGGTGGACAGAGAGAGCGAGGGGCCAGGGAACATGCCTGATCCAGCACCCTCCTCTTCACAGCAGAGAATCAGACACCCAATCAGTCACAGCAAAGGTGTCACCGTCCCCGGCATTTCTGCTCCGTGCCACACTGGTCGACAGTGACTGAGCACCTCCCTCTGCCAGGCTCAGAGCTGGGTGGCGGGGTGGAAAAAGAGATGACGTCTACCCATGCCCAGAGGCAGGATGGGGCAGTGGCTATGGCACAGCCTTTGGATCAGGCAGATACCACTTCTTAGCAGCTGTGTGAACTTGGCCTTACTATGTAACTGCTCCCTGGCTTGGCTTTTTTTATTTTTTTATTATCTGTAAGAGGTGGAGGAACAACAGTACTACTTGAAAGGACTGTTTGATGAATGAATGAAACAATGCTTGTAAGGCAGCTCTGGCAGATAGGATAATCTGCAACAAATACCAGCTACAATTATTAGCCATAAAATTGATGAGAAAAGGCAGACAGGTGAGCAGGTCAGCCCAGCCCGGCAGTGCAACGTCAGGGGGAGGGCACCCTGATTGCAGGGCTCAGAGGAGGCTTGGTAGACAGAAGATGTTTGACTTAGAGTCTCAACAATGATCGTTTTGCCAAATAGACCAACAATTGACTTGGGTATTCCATTGTCTTTTGTTCAATGCCATAAATACGGGATAGAGAATAGGAGTTTGATTTTTAATAAATCTCAAGTCTTCTACCAACGCTTGGGGAGCCACAGTGCATTTAACCACTTAATTAGATGCAGTCTGTCAACATACACACAGAAACATAAACTGTACATTTCTCTAGAATTGTCAAGGGCACCACATTCTTGGCTGTTTCCAACTACACCAATTACGCAGGTGTTGAGAGCTGTAGGAGGGGTGCGCTGTTCCACCCAGCAGAGAGGCTGAAAGGCCTTCCAGCTCTTCATTGTGGAGCACTGAACAGGCATCACTTCTAGAGAATGGCCATTAATCCTGTCTCCCACTCTCCCACCTTTACTCGTGGAAGGTAGTGCGGAGGAGGGAGTCTGGCTACTTATTTGATAGGCTGAATGATATCAAGGAACTCACTTGTTGCAATCAATTTGAAAGACTCATTGTATTGGTATGTTTATAGAATGATGGGCAGACATGGTAGGGTATTAGAAATCATGTGAATTCTTAGGTTTTCAGGACTCTACTGGGAGACTTTCAATATGTTATCAAATATCATCCTCAGAGCAACCCTACAAGGAAGGTATTATTATTCTCATTTTACAGATGAAGTAAGAAGAGAAGATTACAGGTTCCTGAATGTCTTTTCTAAGTCAGAGATGTTGGCTTCAAGAACAGAACCACACTTAGGCTGGGGTTAGTAAGAATTTTATAGCATGAACATGACAGGCAATCACAGAAACATCAAAGGAGAAGAAGTGGGTGGTATGTGTTGAACACCTGGGGCTCCGGAGCTAACTGACCACCTCTCATCTTTGCTTCTGTCTCTCTTTCTCTCTTTCTCCTGGCCTAATTGCTTTTATCTTTTCCTAGAACCTCTGTCACTTGCTGGATCAGGTCCACCAAGTGATGCTCAAATAATACACAGGTTAGTATCTTCCAGAACACGGTAAGTCTCAATCATACTTCTATTTGATTTCCACTTCTCTACAAAAGGGAGGAGGGGCAGAACAGTTTAAGTAGACATTGCACGTATCTAAGCCTCAAAAAAGCAAGCCTAAGGAAAAACTGTATAAATGGCAAGGTTCAAATCATCCCATGCAAATTCCATTTATATAGGCCAATGACGTTGCAAGCCAATATGGTTAAGTATTTACTTAAAAGGTATTGGAAGGAAAAGATGCACTGTTCCATGGTGCATACAGAGTTCTAATAGTTTTCATAATATTATAGGGTTGAGTCAGGAGAGCAGAGCCTTAAGCTGCAAGGGTAATATGTTTAATTCACAAATCTTTTTTTTTTTTTTGAAACAGAGGTTTCGCTTTGTTGCTCAGGCTGAGTGAGGTGCAGTGGTTGCCTAGCTCACAGCAACCTCAAACTCCTGAGTCAAGCAATCCTCCTGCCTTAGCTTCCCTGAGTAGCTGACTACAGGAATGGGGCCCATGGCGCTAATTTGTATTATATTATTAGTTGGCAATTAATCTTTATGAGAGACTGGGTCATCGCTCTTTTCAGGCTGGTTACGAACTCTAACTAGAGCAATCCCACCCACCTCGCCTCCCAAGTGTAGTTATAGGCGTAGCCCTGGCAGCTGAATTCCCAATTGACACCATAAATTAAGTTTAGTTCTTTCACTTGACAGTGGAAGCCAAAGTTGGTAATAGAGTAAAGTTTCTCCTTCATTCCAAAATTAGAAATATTTTGCCTGGCCTGTCCTCGAATGAAAATATGAACTTGAAAATCATTTTTCATAGGTCTCGCCTGTGAAAATTTTGGATAATTTCAGAGAAGCAAAGGCAAGCTGTACAGATATTCTGGCAGTTTCCTCTGAATGCAAATCAACAAAACTTAGAGTGTCAGAAATGTTGTAGAGCAGTATGATGAAGTGCTTGCAAAATGATATGTTTAAAATGATGCAGAACAAAATAGTATAAATGATTTTGAAAATATGCAAATGACATGATTCCTATGTTTTAATAATATAAAATGGCATACATACCTGGAAGGGCAACATAATGAAATGGCTTTTTGAGGATAAAATTCTTGATTGATTTTCATAAGAGTTAGTATTATTTTCATTGATTATTCACACCCCATTATATCAGATAATAGCAAAGTATTGAATGATTACTTGATTAGTGCTTAACTTAATTTTTTTATTCTTCTAGGACAGGTATTATCATAAGTCACACTGTAAGAATGAGGTTAAGAGGAGAGTATGCATACACGTGCTGAGATAGACTCTAAAAGTTTTTCAGGAGTTCCAGTTAAGAATAATAATAATAATAATACTATTGGCTACAATTCGTGGCACTTAGTATGTGCAGGCACTGTTCTAAGGGCTTTACATTTGTAAATCATTTACCTAATTCTCAGACCGCTGTACGAGGTAAGCACTATTCTTATTCCTTTTCATAGGTGAGAAAACCAAGGCCCAGAAGCAGGGTCCCCAGCTGGCCTGTGGCCACATCAGAATTAGAATGCAGGCCATCTGGGTCCAGTTCAGTCACCTGCACTGTCTGCACTTACTGCTCTAGTTTCAGGGCTTAGGGAAATATTACAGAAGACATTTTTCAGGAAAATTTAAAGTACTTGTGATAACTCCAAAACAACCCCAAACATTCCAACCTGCATGAGCGGGAGAAAGGTTTTCTTGGCTAACTGGGAGGTTCGTTTGGACATGACGAAGCTCAGGCCACCTGGCCACACGCTGAGTGGCAGGTCCAGCTGGGATTGGGCAGTGAGGGATGGCAGGCCATACCAAATGACACAATGCATGGACTTGAGAGTGACAAAAAGAGGTGATCATTCTTAAATGTCAGTATGAATTAATTTCTTGAAATGGAGAAGCGCCGAGGAGGGAATGAGCCCAGTCTTCAAGAAAACGTGCGCAGTAACAAGGCGAGAGGGAACAGCTTTCCCATTGTCGAAGGATTCAGTTTCGGCTGAGTCTGCAGATGACAGCGCAGCGGTTGGAGAGGGAGAGGGCCAGGAGGGACAAGGCGCACCCGGGGCATTGGTGCCCAGAGGCCCCTACCCTGGGCGGGCGACCCTCCTGCAGGCGGTGAGCAGCAGAGGAAAGAAAGGGCAGATCGGTTGTCCTGGCTTCAGGCAAAAGGGGAGCGAGGAAGGAGACCGGGAGGCCGCTGGCAGGAGAGAAGGGACGTGGATTCTTTCCAGTGGGGCTGTGGCAGGCGGGAGGGGTGAGGGACCTGTGGCCCCCCCCCCCCCCCCCCCCCCCCCCCTCCCCCCCCCCCCCCCACCTGGTGGGACAGTGGGATGTGGCAGGTGGGCACGGTGGGACTGTGGCAGGCGGGAGGTGAGGACCCCTGTGGCAGGTGGGAGTGGGTACTGGGGCAGGTTGGGACTGGGTGGGGATGGGCAGGGTGGGACGGTGTTACTGTGGCAGGTGGGACGGGTGGGGACGCTGGGGCAGTGGAACGGTGGCTTGGGACTGTGGCAGGCGGACACGGTGGGGACGGTGGCAGGCGGGACGGGGGGGACTGTGGCAGGTTTGGAGGTGGGGACTGTGGGCAGGTGGGAATGGTGGACGGTGGGACCCCAGCCGGGACAGGCCGGGACGTTTGTCTCTGACAGCGGGACCGGCCTGTGGCGATGGGGGAAGCGGGGCTTGAGCGCGCCTGGGGGTTAAGAGTCCCCCCAGTGATAAAAAGTCATGCTGGCTCATTGCTGGCGCGGCACGGTTGCCCTTTTTAGTTGTTTGGGCGTGCTGGGGCGAGGACTCGGTTTCCTGGCGTCTCCTGGCTCCGGGGGGATGCCCAGCGGGCTTCCCGGAGAGAGCAGCCGCGAGGTCTCAAGTCCGGAGGGGACAGGGGCCCTGGCAGGTGGTCAGTGTCACCGGAGCACCTGCAGCCCCAACCCCCCCCTCAGCCGAGGGTGGCGCGGCGGAGCGCGTGCTCTCCGGGCCGCCCGCCGCCGCCATGGACCCGCCAGTCCCGGGACCCTCAAGTCTCGGAGACCCGCCCCAGCGGGCCCTGGGAGCCTGCCTGAGGCCCCGCCGTGGGTTTCCCTTGTGTCCTTTCGGGCCCTCCAGGGCCGGCGTGGTTCTGGAGGCTTGCGTGTGCCCCTTGTGCCTTTTGGGCTCCACACGCCTGTGCCATCCCTGTGTTCGTTCGAAATTTTGTGCGGTTTCCTTTGGCCACGCCGGACCGCGCGCCACAAGCCTGGCGCCGGCGGGGCGGTGGATCGGGCGGTGAAGTGGCCGGGCGGGCCGCCCGCGGGCTCTGCGCTGGGGACGCGAATGGCTTAAAGGTATTTGCCCCAACATCCCCAGGCTGATGTATTCGTCTTAATCTCCCTTCACTTGGTTTACGTTTGCTGAAACAATTTCATATCGATTTGTTTCCTTCGGGAGTCCTCGTGTGGGTTGTTTAGTTGACTTACCATTCTGACGGCATCAGTGACATTGCCCAGTTTGGTGCTGGAGGGCGGGGTGGAGGGGTGAGGGCTGCTTCCGGAAGGGTCGTGTGTGCTCTCAGAATGTAGGACTGTCGGAGGGATGCTGGCAATGGGACAGAAATGAAGTGTGTCAACACGGAGAATTCACTCTTCCTGAGGAGGGTCCAGGGAGGATCTGGGTGTCTTAGTGAAAACTGTCTGGGCTCGCAGCTAATGGCATCCCACCCTACTATTTTGGGTAAGAATCAGAATAAAAAACACAGTTCATCTTTTTTGTTGTTGTTCTTCTCCTTGTTTTAATCTTAGGCTGCTCATATATCCCCATCCATGACTGTCATTTCGATCATTCTATGATTTAGGCTCCTCAAAAAATCATTTTGAGTGCCATGTTCCTGGGGAATTGATGGGATATTACAACAAAAAAGGGCAATTATTGATATAGTGTAGATTGTTGCCGAGAGATTTTGTACACAATGATAGTTATATTCATCTACAATTTAATGTTAGCTAGAAAGACAGCCGGCCTAAACTTAGAGGACCCCATGGGGCAGGCTAGTGTGGTTTCACTTATTACTTGCTCAATCTTGAGAAGATTATAAAATGCTAGTAGTGCGATTTAGACAGGTTACTATAATCATCT